GATCACATAAAAGTAAAATCCACAACAAGAAGAAATAAATGAAAGAGATCGGAAGTGCGGCAATGAAATCAAAAATCTTTCCATTATTATTATTTGTTCACACCCATATCATACAAAATCAAATCTATGTTCATTAGCAATAAGGCTGAATTCCCAATAAAATATTACAATAGTACCACAAACTATGGATTTTCGACTGACCCCTGCTCGAGCAACAACAGCTCACGTTTACACGCTTTTGTCAAATTGTACACGAAATCCCATTTCAACCAAAATCGTACGACTCGACTCTGAAACGAACTCATAATTTCCATGAACATGTCATGTAAATCGTCGCCACGTTTTGTTTGTAACTCCCAATTCATGCCCAAACCGGTGTTCATTATTGAATCGGTGAGCGCCTTAAATATTGGCCGATAAATATCAAACTTTGTACCAATGTTACGTTCTAAACGCTCCACCAATATGCCAGCCTTTCGATTGAATGTCGGTATAAATGTGTTCATTATTTTCGTACTGAATGTTGGATTCAATGCCCGGCGATGCTGTTTCCATAGCTCTTTTGGTGATGAAAAAAGCCCCGTTTCATTTCGTAAATGTGAGTATAAATATGGTTTGTCCAAACATTGATCAGCATTCAATACGGTGAACATATCTTCCGGACTATCGATACCAATGGCAAGTGTTGGTCCAAACCATGCGGCAAACGGTTGCTCTTTTTCGTAAAATAATTGATCAATGGATTGCATTGATTTTTCATTGTCTAGACCGATGAAACGACCACCGATTCCTAAAATTGGCACCTCTTTCAATTTTGAATATGCTCGTAGTTTTGTTCGATTCAAGTACCACTTTCGAATCTCAATCCATAGACAAAATATCACTGACACACCCAATAGAACGATCGATGTTAAGAAAATCATGATTTTTTTTTTCTTCTAAGTTTTTGTTGGCAGTTTTTATGTGATTTTTTTACACTTTATCTTGAAAATTTTGCGATAATGTTAGCAGAGAGCACTATTTCAAGATTTATTGTTAAAGATTTTTTTCACTGTGTTTCGTTCGTTATGTTGTCGGGCGGTTTTTATAAAAAACTAATAGTGTCTTGTTGAACGATCAATTTCAAAGTGATAACAATAGTTCAACTGCGAATTGTAAACCGACTTCACGATCACAGCGTTTTTATTAGAATAAATCAGAACAATTTACAGGTGCGAGTCGTCAGTCAGCGAATAGAATTAAAAAAAGCACACATTATTCAAGTTTAAATTGTTTTGTAAATTGCATTTGCCATGTATGTGTGTGTGGAGTACAACTTTCGAAAAATAATAATAAAAAAATGGAAATATGGGAAATAACAAACTACTTGACCGATCTGTTTGGTGACGGCTTGAGTGCCACATAGTCGAAAGCGCATTTGCAAATGATGATGCCTTGAATTGTTGGTGCTACTTCTGATGCCGCTGACATTGCTACTATGCACCGTCTTCAATGATATTTGTTTCAACCATTTCCTAAGTAATTAAATTCCAATTCTAAACAATTGCAACATTTTCAACAAGCAAACATCAAATGCGCTCTTTTTTTTTTTATACCAACACAACGCTGATTCGCCAATCAAATATTTTAATGAATAGGGTTAAAATAACAAAGGCACACACAAATTCGAATAATTTCAAGTGATTTGGTTCAAGACTAACATTTTTTAATTATTTAATACAAACACGCGTATATTTGATTTTTCATTGTTTTGAATATTTAGCAACCACAATCCTTGACATCTTAAACACATATATCAAGACCACTGGTAGTACGAAGTACATTAAAATGGAATCAGAATAAGCGCTGTGTCGACATACCAAAGCTATTACTTTCACAATTGTCATCAAATTTATGAATGGATCGCTAAAGATGCGACGATTTAGCGTAAAAATAACAAACTCTGTATCTAGTAGCATACAATTCCATTGACCAGTGTCGTTTGATCATTGTCATCATGCCGCTTCAAGTCGATACATTTTTATTTTTGATACCCTAACAAGTTGTAGTTAAAAAATAAAAAAAATGTTTCATATCCAGCCAGAAGTAGCGAAAATTCAGTGATTACTTCAATGTTTGATGAAAAAATAAGTTTAATGATTTTTTCAAGCGTGGAAAAGTGCAAAATAATAACAGTTTGCATGTTTAAATTACACAGCTACGGCATTTTCATTGTAAGTTCCAACAAGTTGACCTTCTAGAGTTGACCCATTTGATGCCTCAGGCTCTGCCACACATAAAACCTAAATGATTGAAAAGCAAAGATCCGAAACACTTTCGACATGCTTGAAATTTTAAATAGAAATACGAATAAATTTCTGTCCCAGATCCTATTTGATCTTTCTCAATATTTAGTTTATTTCATTTGTATCTTCATCATATTTTCATCATCATTATCATCTTTTTTTTGTATATATATATTTATTATTATTTTTTTAAACAATTTCTGTGCATTATTTTTTTTTCTCTCAACGCTTTGTTTTGTCCTTAAATTTCTTAACTACATTCATGAAATGGAATTATAACTAATATAAATCAAAGAATGAAAAAATAGAAAATTAAATTGAGAAAACTGAATCTAATAAAGTTTTTTTCTTGTTGTTTTTGTTGTTAGAAAAATAGAAAGTTAGCATAAAACTGGTTGGTTCTTAAATATGATCTGATGAAACAAAAGAAAAACGTTTCAAATACATTTATGTTGAATGAGTTATTAATTAATTTCGCAGCACTTTGAAAGGATTGCTTCAAAGGGAAACAATCATCATTGTGGATTTTGTTTACAATAGAAAAAAAACCTATGTATGTACTCTTGCCTTTCGTTGGATAATAAACGCATTGATGATGAATTGCGGAACAATATATGGGGACAGATCGAAGGCAAGATGTATTCTATTTTGTTACGTATGTCATCTGACAAATCGGTTCATGAGTTAATGAATTTGTTTTTTTTTTCTCTCTAACAAAAAAATCTGTTATTCATATAATTCCTTGTGTTCAAAAGGAAACATTGTTATTGTGTTCTTCTTCTTTTTTTTGTTAAAAAAATGGCTCTAAATTTTACACTATTTTCTTCTTAAAGTTATTGGTTTTTGTTTGTCTATCCACAAATGAGATGAACTACCGGCAAAATAAGTTGCTGATACATTCAACAAGAATGTATTTGCTATTCGGGCCTCGAGGATGATACTGGCATATTTTTTCTTCACTTTTTTTTACATTATTGTTAATTCATCTCTCTTTTTTCTTCTTTTATCGTATAACTTCTTTCATAATCATCTTTTTCAGTTTTCTTCTTTAATAATTAGTAAGTCTTATTGCCTAACATGGATTCCTAATGTAAATTTAAAGTTGCATGTGTATGGGTGGTGTGTGTTTTTATGTGTGTGTGTGTGTGGTGTGTGTTTTTTTGTGGTTGTTTTCATTTAAATTGCTGTTTTGCTTCATTTCTTTTGCTCGTTGATGTCGAACACACAGTGTTTGCATATTTTGTTTCAGCTTTTAACATTCATCTACAGCTTCATATCGTTGACATAAGCATCAAGCTCGGCATCCAATTCTTCGGCTGATACAGGTTTTGCGTTTGCACGATTTCCACCACGTTTTACACCACCACCGCCACCGCCGCCTTGTCGTGGTCCTATAAATGACAAAAATTACATATTAATATTCAAATTCAATTAATTTTCTCGCTGACGTCAGTTTGGTTCAAAAGAAAAAGGGGAAAATGAACGTACCTGGCTTTCTTTGTTGTTGTTGTCGACTTTGGTTGTTTCTGTTTTGACCGAATGTTGGTCGTGGATTACGAACAGCTGGTTGAGGTACTTCCGATGTAGCCAATTGAATGTTCATCGGTCGGCCGTCAAGCGGCACACCATTGTATTGTTTCATTGCCTTAACGGCATCGGCACGTCGTTCGAACACTACATCGGCCGTTCCTAAATTAATTAAATAACAAACAAAACGGGATTAATTCGGTTTTGAGTTGAAAAAATGTGAATTTTCGGGTCTTAATGGTTAATGCATTTTTTTTTCGAATTCGATTAAGCAGAATACTGTATTACCAGCATTCATTTGTTTCCATGCATAAGCTCAGTTTCAATAGATTTTTGCATGTTCGTATAGTACAACTAAATATTCAATCGTAAAAAACTCGAAAACCAAGTGGAAAAAAGTAAAAAAAAAATGATGCTTACCCAATGAACGTCCGGATCGATCATAATGAACTGATGCGCTCTTCAATGGTCCAAAATCGGCAAACAATTCATGAATATCGGTTTCGGAGACACCGTAGTCCAAGTTCGAGACCAATAATTTGGCCGAACCGCTGTTTATCAAACCATTAACTGCGCCGCGTAACAGGTTCTTTTTGCCACCTTCAAACATATCATGTTTCCATGCGCTGTTCACATCGCCCTAGAAATTATGTTATTGGATTTGTTTTTGGAATTGGTCATATGATTGCTAATTTGTTTTTTGGTTTTTTTTGGAAGGTAAGATTTTGTATTTTTTGTTCAAAATAGTATCGATACGAGGAGTCGATTCGAGATAATTGTTGGATCCATTTCCATCGCCATCCACCCATATAGAGTGATTAGCCCGAGAGCATCCGCAAATGATGAGATATTGTGTGAGGGAGTCTAAATGCAGACATATTTTTTTTTTTTTTTTTCAAAAATGTCATTTGTTTTCACTGGAATACGCACGAAATTTAAGATAAATGATTCGGTTATTTGCGATGGCATTGAATTGATGTTGATGTGGGTGTGTGTATGCGCCTCATATGGATTGAGCGTTTTACAACAAAATAATTCAATAATGCCAATATCGCCCGCCAACAATCCCGTCGAAATCCAATACACCATCAGGTTTCGTATCGTGGCCACACGAAGACTGTGGAACTCATCTTCATTCGGCGAGATGGGAAGGACGGTTTCGGTCGATGAACTTCATTCGACAATTTGTTTTTTTTTTAGTTTTGTTTGCTTTGTTTTCGGACTGTTTTCGTTTAGAGAAATCTGAATGGAACGAACGATAATAAAATGAGCTTAGAATATTTAAGTCGAAATACATGAAAACACCTGATGTTTAAATATTATGCGCACGTGTGAGCGATGATTTTTTTTATTCATTCGCTTTTTTCCACTGATCTGTGATGCATTTGGTTGGTTTTACGTTTTAACATATACACCGATTATGACATGATTTTAATTTCATTTTCTTTTTCTTTATCGATTTTCGGATTAACAGCAGAAAAAAATAACAGCAATTAATTTCATATTTTAACTCAGGCACTCATTTGAGAAACTTTCTAAAAAAAACTTTTCATTTTTTTTTCGTATTTTTATAATTTCGTTGAACTTGATTTTTTCATCATTGAATTTAATATATATCTGTATAATAAAACCTTTTAAAATAACTTCAAAGGAAACAAACTAATACACATACACATGATTTTCACAATTTTTTCTTCTTCTTCCGAATTATGTCGATGAATTTGACAATGATCATCCTCTCTCTTCTCTCTCTATCTCTCTCTCTATCCAGCATAATTTGCGTTGAAATTAAACACGACTATTTAATGTTCATCATTGGCGTAACAAAATAACGGCGCATTTGAAGTTGTGACGGTGCGTCATCACAATTCAACTGTTCGTTGGAACACGATATGACGGTTTTCGTTATGAAATTCGCATCTCTCTATACATCTGGTTAAATGGAATTGTCTTTTTGTATGAACTTTACTTTTTTTCATTTTTTTTTTTTGTTGTGTCGTTATTTCGAAGTGATTTTTTGTTGCAAAGAAGACCTTATATGGGATGGACTTTAACGCCATACTTTGCACTTTTTTCGCTTCTTTATTTCATAATTTTTTTTCTTCGTATAGATGAACTTTGTACGACGAAAACAAACAACAACAACAACAAAAATTACACACAATCACAATGAAAATATACAGAGTCTTAGTGAACTTGGTGATGAGCAAGACAAAATATATACAGCCATTTTTGCTTTACACAATGTCCGCCATTTTTTTCTCTTTACACAATGGTCATCATTTCTCTTCTCTCTCTATCTCTATCTCTTTCGATCGCACGCTCTTCTCGCGCTCATTATTTCGCAATTTTCGCAGAAATTTCTATGTCACGATTCATTTTGGTGAATCATTTATTTTTTTGGTTACTTGGTATTATCATTTTTTTTTTTTTTTGGATGAGTGTGTGAGATTTCAACTCTTTCTTACCCTGGTAAATTTGCGGGTTGGTGCGCCGCCAAATGAGCGTCCTTTTGGTTTACCAATTTGACGATTGGCCGTTCCACGGAATTTTTGTACTGGTTTATTACCAATTTTACGACGATTTCCACCAGCACCGCCAGCACCGTTTACTTGTTTTTTGGCTCCATTACGACGGAATCCAATTTTGTTGGTCTTGATGATGTCGTCCAAGCTCATTTCAATTTTGTCAACCATTTTGCTTCGATTTTTCTTTCCGCTTTTATTCTTGTTTTTAATTCGTTAATTTGACCAACCGTAATTACGTTTGATGATAAATATTTTTGATTTTTATCCTCGACGTTTTGTTTGTCACTTTTTACAACGTTTTCGGTGCGATTTTGAAGTTATTTTTTTATTTTATTTTTGATGAACGATATGAACGCGACGCTTCACTATTAGACGGCTGCAACAAGAATGAGTATTCGTTTCTCAATTCCAATATGTCGGACTATTGTGTGTGTGCTTCACATGGAGAGAATCATTTACAATCGTTTATTCCACCATTGTACCGCTGGCACCACTACTCTTTCTTTGTGTCTATCGTCTCGTCATATATGACAAATTATTAAACGCATCCACCCGTTCGTTTTCATTCATTTGATTTTGAAACACGAAACGATTGATTCGCTAAATAAAGTCTTTTATTCTTCTGAAAATTGTAAAAAAAAAACGTTTTTAAATTTTCGAAATAAAAAAAACTATTTTATTTTAAATGTTCAATCATTTTCTTTGTATTCGTTATTGCATAAATGCTTCTTCTGTCTAAAAGAACGAAAACCCTTCAAATGTTTTGGTTCATGTATGTATTCTGTCAAATGGTTGGTCTTTGAAATCTCCATCGCAATGAATAGTAGTGTATGTCAAACGAAACTTACAAACATTTGATTCGAAGAAAAAAATTCGCGAATAAGTTTCCTTTTTCCCCGGAGTTTGTATCATTGACCTTTTTTGACGTTTTTCTTTTATTGCGCGGTGCGGAACAACAACAACAAAAAATCATCAATTTTCGGTAAACATATCAGAAAAATTCCAAATTTTTGTGTCAGAAATGACAGCGAATCTCGCAATCGAATTACAAAATCAGTTGTCGGTGGCTCGTAATGAAATCAAAAACTTACGGTAACTATTCATTTTCACTTTTTTTTTCAATTCGATTTTCAATACAATGGCGTTTATTTTTCAGAAAACAAATTCATTCATTGTCGTACATCCATCAAACCGATTTGAAAATTATCAAAAATTTGCTCACCGATTTCAAATGCAATGGATGCAAAGAACAACAAAAGAATGGTCAACCAGCTGCGCGGTCGATTGAATCGGACCCAAGTGAAAAGGATCCAAATTTGGTAACATTCAAACCAATTGGATTAATTCACACCCATTTCCCCGAAAAAAGAGCCGTTCCAAGACAACCGAGTGTTTGTTCCAAACTTGCCGGATATATTGAACTTAACAAAGACATTTTTAACAATCCCGAACATTCATTGGAGCGACTTGGCGACTTTTCACATTTGTGGATTATTTACCATTTTCATAAGAATGAATCGCATGCCAAGGCAAAAGTGGCACCACCTCGACTGGGAGGCGAAAGAGTTGGCATTTTCAGCACACGTTCACCTCATCGTCCATGTGCCATCGGACTATCATTGGTCGAAATCGATCGAATTGATGGTTGTCGCATCTATTTTAACGGAACTGATATGATTGATGGCACACCAATTCTTGATATAAAACCATACATTCCCAGATATGATAGCCCAACACGAAATCGATTAACAGGTAATTTGCGCACAAAAGAATTAGAAATTGGCGTATGAGAAAAAAATGTGTGCATTTTTAAATGCAATTCGATGAATAGAACTTATAGCGACGGTTTAATGCATTTTGGATGAATATTAAGTGCATGCTGTACTTTGTCAATGTTCGTAGACCCTGGAAATGTTGTCACTTTGAAAAAAGGACATTTTATGTGAATTTCAATTTTAATTTAGACGGTAGTACTGCAGACTCGAGATTTTTTTTTGAGAAATAAAAAAAAAAACATTTTTTTACCTTGAGATTATTGTTCGATAGCTTGCTTTGAATAATGAAAGCAGAAAAAAATCCATTGAAAAGGGACAATTTTCCAATGAACATTTTTATTCGTTGTTTTTTACGAACAAATTTGATAGTTTTGAATTCATATACTTTATTTTGCAGAAACTCAATCAGTATCAACAGAGGATGAGAGTCAAGCGTTCGATGCAAGAGAGGAGCCGGATGGCGAAGAGACAATTTCACGTAATGCACAAGCACAAGGACAAGTGTTAAGCCCATCGCCGGCTGTTAGTTCCCAGACTGTTAAAGTACCGAATTGGATTTTGGCCGATACAACATTGGAAGTTGTTTTCAATGAACGAGCCACTCAACAAATCGTTGAATTTCGAATTAATCGAGTATGTATTTCACGAATTCAATTATGATTAAATTATGTGTCGCCTGTTTATTTTCATCTTCAAATTCTAATCCAATCGATTTTCTTTCATTCGCAGTCAAACATAGTGGATGTACTAAAAAACGATCCACGATCGGTGTACTTAAAAACACGATATGGTTCGCAAATATTTACATTTCAATTGGGCGAAGTGACCGTAACGTGTAAATTTAATGATGCAAATGGTATTGTTACTGTTGTTCAGATTCGAAAATCAGAGAATTTATCGAGTGAAACGTCGTCATCGCAAAACGAGACTCACGTCAAGTAAATAAACGATGGCGACGGTGACGGTTACGGTGACAAAAAAAACAACAACGAGAACTGGACCAATCTCACGATACCAAAAACATCACAAAACCAATATGATGCGCGCGTACAATTAATCTAGTTGCTATTTTGTGTGATACATTTTTATTTCTATTTGAAACAGAAAAAAAACCATGCTTATGTGTTGTATTATTATGTATTAAGTCGAACATACCAAAATTGGCTGAGACGAATATGTTATAAACATAAAATTGATATATACACGTTTTTATTTGTAATTATTCAATTTCATAGTCAATAAATGGCGTCTAATTCACATCGAATACAATTAATATCGCGATAATGAATTGTTTGTTGTACGCACAAAAAAACCTGGTCGACCGAAATTGTATTCGGAATTTAGAAAAAGAAAAACTCCAATTTTTCTCAATGTAATTGAGTCTTTTTCCTTTATATCTATGGGTTTTCTTCTTTTTTTCTCCATATTTCTCGTCGTACCTCCCTCTTCTTTTCCGTTTGCAGAAAATCTGTCTTCGAGTGACAGACGTTTGAAAAGAGTGCCGCCACCGAAAATGGTATTCACACACACAATAATAACAACAACAAAAATTGTCATATGTTCTACAATTTTGTTTTGTTTCGAGTGTGTTTTTTTGCGTTTTAAAATATTTATTTGGCAATACAATATGTTGGCATCGGTGATCTTTGTCATCTCGCTCAAATCTGGTTTTTGTTTTGTTATAATTTAAGTGAATGAGGATGATTTTAAAAACTGATTTGATCGAGTCTAAGTATGCTTAATCCCAAATTAACAAAGGGGTACACCACTTTTGCACTGCAAACAACGAATGAACTTGAAATAAATTTGCTGTGTTATTGCCGAAAATAAAGAAATTATACAAGGACTATAAAATGCCGGGGTATTCAATTTATGATTTGAAATGATAAAGCACCAAACAAAAAAACGCACATGTACACAACACATACGAACAATATCAGATGATTTGTCGCACTGTAACGAAACATATACAAAGTCAGCGGTGCGAGAGGGAGATTCATGTCACTATAAGCGCGCTGCATACATACGCGCTTCCATTGTCGTATGCACGTTGCGAATGCTTGCGGAGTGTTACGTACATGCGATGCATACACCAATATCTAATAAACACTGCGAAGAAAGAAATGACATGACGAAGGAAAAACATAGAGAGAGAGAGAGAGAAAAAAATGTCAAAGTCAAAATCATCGAACAAAAATCACAGGCAGAGTTTAGTTGATGTACTGTCGTTTATGTGAACGGTTGCGCAGCGCACTATTCTCTCAATATATCCAAACACACTGACCGAATATCGACTTCATTTGGATAAAATTCTACGTATTTTTTTCTTCTTCTATATCGTGTGCGTGTGTATCGTGATTTCAAAACACATCAAATCACATCTTTTCGAGAGAAAGAGAAAAACAGTCAAATTAGCATTGCGTTTTCAGCAACAGAAAAGTAAATTTTTATTCAATATATTTCAATTGATTTTTTTCATTTAATTTCTCATTTTTCTTGTTATTCGCAACAAATTCGAAAATTTGAACTAGGTAAATTCAGTGTGTTTGTATAGTTTTTAATTCAAAATAATTGTTGAGTGGTGAATCGCGCGTGATAGATCATGGTGATGTTTGTGTTTTGCGCTGAAAAGCCGCTAAAAACAATTGATTAAATCAGGAGTGCGCTCGGTTCATTGGTCAACATTTGATTAAATTTCGATGAATTATCACGTGTTTAACAGAATTTATGTTTTTTTTTTTTCAAAAATTTGTTGCTTCTTTTACATTGTCCGATTTCTATTTAAGGTAAAACTCATGCAACGTCATTTATTATCAATTTGTGAAGATAGGGTAGTTTTTGGATCGATTGAATTAGTTTTATTTTATTCGTGTATTGTTTATTTTCGTTGTGATATTACCAAAAACCGTACGGTTTGAAGTGATTGAGTGAGTTTTGGTATGTGATGAATCATTGATGATTTGTAAAAACCGATAATGACTGTCGATTATAAGTTGTTGTTGTTGTTTTTTTAAGAAGAAAATGTAATGATTAGCGAAATGACAAACAGTGACCATAATCACACAATATTTCTTTGCCTTTTTCTTTCAATGTGTTTCCAGGTAGACATTTATCATTACCTTTTCAATTGGATCAAATGCGGTTTTGATAAACATACACACAGCCAATATTAATCGAACGACACATATTAAAACCGCTTTAAGATTCTTATCATATATAGATCAGTGAGTATTTTCTTTCCTTCTCCATTGCTCTTCCTCACTCGGTCTCTTTCACTCTTGCTCATTTGTCTGTCACCAATATAAAACAAACAAAAAATTAAAGTAAACAAATTGAATGGGTTGAATGTGTTATTTCAATCGTGGAAATTACGATTCATATCGAAACGATGGTATCGAAGAATTAATGAAAATGTTGTGTGTCAAGTGATGAGAATTGTTTGTTTTTTTTAGGATCGTGTACGTTTTTCTTTTGAAGATTCAAAATTTGCAAATTTGAAATAAATCAATCGTATGTTTTCAACATCAAATAAACAAAAATTTAAGTGTTTACTTGTTCATTTTTTCATTTTGCGATTCATTTGAGCGGTTTTTTTCCATTCGATATAAAATCGATAGACTGTTTAATTTTTTATGATAATAATTGGTTGACGTTAGTCGTTTGATTGAATAAAAAGCGAATGCGATGAACAGGGCCTACAAGCTCAGGTCATAATTTGTGTACGGAGGTCATGGTGCACAACATATTTTGCATCGTCTTTCTATTGACACATGAGACGCGCGACAATGATCTTCACTGCTGTTCTTTCTCTCTCTCTGCATCTGTTTCCAATTTTTTTTTCGTATTCTCCGACTTCTCTCTCCGTCAAGGAAATTGTGTATGTGTGTTTTTGTCCTTGTTGAGACACTCCGCGACTCATCGATCCTGAACATCCTTTTCCTACACAAATTCAGATGATAATTCAAGTAGGAACGACAACAAGAAGAAAAAAAAAATGCGCTCAGCAAATGTTTACGATATGCGCAGTAAATAGGAAGAGAAAAAAAGAGCAGACAATTTCATATTTATTTTGCATGTTGTGCCCTTTCTTGAAACTACATTATTTTATGCGGCTTCACTCTCAACATGTGGTGTCAAATGACAACAATTCATGAAAGAAAGAACAACGACAAACACATACTTGTTTACGTTGTCTTTGCAACATATTTTCTTCTCGCTGGGCCGGTTTCAATGCCAAAAATCCATCTCCCGTCTAGATCACATTTCATGTGATTGAGTGGCCCGGCAAAAAAAAAAAGAAAGAACATTATGAATGGCTCGATCGTACAACGTGTGTGTCTTACAAACGATCGAAATGGACGTTTGACACCATTTTTGGACGAAAATGATTTTCAACTGAACATTTCGATTTTTATCGCATTTCAACAAAACAATTCAATTTGAATTATCGACGGAGAATTTATCCAAACGACTCAATTTGAAAAACGAAAATTCAATTATTCAGTCCAAAATAAAATCGATTGTTCAACAGTTTTCAACGACTGTATTCACAATATACTTCGTTTGCTGAGAAATGCAATTTAACAGTAATTTTCGAATGATTGGAAGGAATAAAAAAAACTCGAAGAATGCGTGATTAAAAGCAATGGGCTTTTATTCACACTTTAACGCGATAATTGGCAAGATATGCCATTTTGTGTGGTCGTTTATGTGTGCATTTCGGCTGCAATCTGAGCCAATTGATAATGATGCGCTAACGAATTCACACTATGACATATTGGCCAATAAATTAATCAACCATCGTCAATCCAACGAACAATGTCATTTTTATTGAATTATTGAACTGCCGTATGCGTCACGATTATTTTATCGCTCAGTTGGTCCGACCGAATAATAAATCCAGTCAAAATCCTCTTTATTGGCAACTTTCAATCTTTCTTTTTTCGCTTACCATTTTTCTCTCGCTCTATTTTGCTCATTTTTCTATCGTTCTCTTCCTCTTCTGATTATTTCTTCTTTATCGCGACAGTGAATTTTTTTTATCTTCCACCATAAAATCGTTTACATTATTTTGAATGTTTTGCTGGGTACTTGTAATTCGGAAACGTAATTTCCATGTTCCAAACCAAAAAAAAAATCTGGAGCGCACAACGGAAAGAGATTCATATGATATCAAATTGAAATAAAACCCATCATCTCTCCAGTTTAATGGAATTTTTGGGGTCACTTTGTTATTTACAGCAATCAAAATCTCCCTACACTGTGTGCAGCAAACATTTTGATTTATGTTGCACACACAATTTCGGTATAATCCAGTTGGAGCTATTTCGATTACTTTGTTTACGATTTGATGCAAAAGTGTGCACAGTTTGTGGTTCTGCCTCGAAATAGCTTGGGATGCCTTTCATCGGTGGTTATACATTTTGTGTTTTTATTTATTCATTTATTTTTCACATACACTTCGGCGAATGATCCAGCGCGTTTAGTTTACTTATGAATTCTTGGCATAGTCCGATTCAATTTTGGAAGGATTTTTTGATTTCACGGTCGACAAAAAATGCGCATGATACGTGACCAAAATTCTTTGAGCGCAACAGAACGCGGAGCAAGAGAAATAGATTGAGAAAGAATGAGTGCGAGAGAAAAAGGAGAAATCAGGCGAGTCTGTGTAAAAGAGAGTATTTGTCCAAACTATTAACAAGTTTTTATTTTTGAAAATGGACGTATTTTTATGTCTCCGCGTGTGTGTATTTATATTCACAAGAATATGTTGTTTTTTTTTTACTTTCAAAATGGGCCGAAAAAAGGAGAACAAACGCAAAACTAAACGCTGAGTGCGTCGATAAATAAAATTTAAATTCATACCTATTCACTTTCTTACAAAAAAAGAGTGGAATTTATCGCTGACTTATACCCAAATTGGCCAATGCCTCATTGTGGTGATTCATGATTAATTCACATTTATGCGAAATCACAAAATATTTATGCAAACAAAAACGGGCGGTCAGACGCAAAAATCGATGAAAAAAAACTTCGAAGAAATTTGCTTCATTTTCATGTTAAACAAAGTATTGTGCATTCCTAAGTGCACGATCGCAGTGCACTTTTTTGAAATAGAGGCAAATCGATTGAATGACAATCTTCGATTGAACAAAGGCGTATTATCGATTATATTATCGATAGACATGTCTTTGTTTAATCGACTTGACAACCAATTGACATTGTTTTGACTTGTACTTTTTACCCGCCGTCCACCTGCATTCGATCCCAAACATACAATGAAATTCATTTCGAAACCAGCAGCATTCTGATTTTTCAAAAGCCAAGTTGTTTGATTTTCCGAGACTAAGTGATAAATAATTCTTGAAAATGGCAAAAGATTAAAATAGACAACGACCCAAGTTGATTGGCCAGTGTGACGTGAAATCTGCATCATGTCCAAGCGTAAATGTGTAAAAGGTTGGATCGAACTTTGGTTGCGACTTAAAATGTGATCTTTTACAGATGTCGAAACCGAAATATCGATTGACAGCCTTTTAGCCGTTCAATTTTGGTTCCATTTAAAATTCCAATTATGATTAATCTCCATCATTTCGAAAGTGTGTTTAAAATTGTCTGATTTTAAACGATTTTATTTATTTTCATTTGAGTTGTTTTTTTCTCGAACCGATCCACATTTATAGCAAAATGTTGTCGGAAATGGTTGAAACCTGTAATGCCCAAAAACAAATTGTTGATAGAAATGATTAGCAAGTCGTTTCGGCCCTAAACTTGTTTGTTTGGAAACAGGCTGGTTTCTCTCTCTGTGTCAATCTAGTTAGTAAACGGTTCAGACTGCAAATGCGTAGCATATTTTCGTTGTTATAATTGATTCTGGAAATAATATTAACCCTCTAGTGCATAGCCCTGTCTTTAGGCATGGTGTATAAATTATTGTCTAAAATATATAATTAAAAAAAAAAGATTTATTTATGAATTAAAATACATTCAGTAGGGTTCAGGCTTTCATTTTCCGGTCATTTGACAACTGGATGTAAATCGGTTGTTTAATTATAAACACGGTTGTACTCGAAAACGGAAATTTGACAAAAAAAATTATCATTTTCTTTGTTTATAGCAGTTTTACTGCAGTTTAAACAATGGTTTTGATGGTTCTCGAATTTTGTCAATAGCATTTTTTGAGAAAACCATGCGATTTTTTGAATTTCGATTATTTTTTTAAGGAATTATAAACCAAAACAATCATAGAAAAATAAGTCTCATGTCGAAAAAAAATTAATGCATTAGAGGGTTAATAAAAATGTGTACACTGTACATAGTAAATAATAATAGCGAATTGTTTGTATTCTTTTCTATTACAGGTTGTGTGAGTTGTGCATATTGAGAAGGAGAGAGAGGAAAACGTTGCTAAAAGGCGATAATTTTTGTCTAAATTCACCGAATTCAGCGATGATGAACTAAAGAGGCAAACGAGTTACATTTTAAGTGTTCGCTAAAAGCAAAAATTGCAGCAAATTGCAGCCAAAGTGGAAATAAAACGAAACAAAAATCTGTTGAAAAAGGCAAAACGAAAGAGTAAAAGTTCAGGTGTTCACCTTTCAAAACGAAGAGAAAAAAAATATTAAAGATGATTCAACGAATTTCGTAAGATTGACGTGCAGATGATCAAAGAGTACTATCACATGTAAATTGTAGCCTAAACACATATTCGCCCTCTGAATTTCACATCGACCAGAATTGGAAAGGTTGCATTGGACAACAACAACAACAACAAAACAAGCGATAATATTTTGATAAAAAGAAAGATTGAAACAAAAGAAGGGCACGAAATTAGCATTGACAGGCGCGAGTTGATTTGATTAGAAAAACAACGTCCGTGTTGGTGAAATGAGAACAAATTACATATGAGTTCATTTTAATTGTTCGAACTAACGAAATACCAAACATATAATAACAACAATAGACAGTTGAAAAAACAAAACAACCAAATTCGACAACACTGACAAGAGAAAAACAAAATCGTATTCTGCATATCACAGTAGCACCACAAATATATCTTATATATACGTGTTTGATTATTGCGAGTTAAACATACATGTAAAAAAAGCGAACGCGCTAGCCCAGGTGGTATTGTTCAACGTATTTTATATGACTCAGCCGAAATATTTGTGAGCGAGAACGCGCTTGAATTGAAACTTGTAAGAGACAATCGCGACATTTGTTTCGATCTCTTTCTCGATATACGCCAACACATATCCAATTTGGGTGTTTTTTTTTTTCATTCGTCCAAAACATTTGAATATTGGACACATTAACTTGTGGCTACCAATTTTTTTCTTCCATCGTTTTTTTTCTTCTTCTGTTTATTTGTCATATTGTCATTTTGGATATTCCGTAGCTGTAGTCGTCATCGTCGTCGTCGTTGTTGTTATTTTCGTTTAATTTATCGCGATCACCATATATACGTCAGGTGGGTTTTCTTTCACGCACATCACAGTATCTCACAGTTGTATTTGATCTCGCATTCATATCGCATCAAATTCGGTGTGTATTTTATCATACAACGTCCTTAGCGCAAACACAAATAGCCACCGTTGCTAATTAGAATTGTTGCTACTCGTTTGAATATTGTGCACACGAGAGAAATAGATAGCACACACAAGAATAATATTCCAAAGAAATAAAAAAGAGAAAACAAACACATACAAAGACAGAATAAACGAAGGCGAACCGTGTTGCCGGAATACGTCGTTCGTTGTTAGGCATTCATAGATCGATGAGTGATGAGCGTTTAGTTTTAAATGAGTCTGGATTGTGAACCGAGTGAATTAACACCGTTACGACGATCAAATCACTATCGAAACAAACAGCAATCGTCAGAACAATTGCAAGCAGCAGCAACAGCAGCAGCAGAAGGAGCAGCACCATCCCCACCATCAGTACGGACGTCATCATCAACTGCATCATCAAATTATCCATCGCAATCGATCGATTTCAACGAATACATGTCAATCAATAATAATAATCATCAAGTCATTGGTGGCGGTGGCAGTGATAGCAGTCGAGGTGATACAAGCGAACCAAATTCACAGCAAGCCTTCAATCCAAAAGCATTCATGATGAGCGACACGAGGCGCGTTTTTGTTCGCATTACCATCGATTTTATCATATTGCTAAGTGGTGAGTCATTGCTTTTTTTTATTTTCCACCTGTATTACACATTTTTACATTTTTCTTACCCTGAGACATAACTCATCAAATATTTCACGGCATGTGGTATTCCACGTCCAATTTAAAACAAAAAAAATGATTTCTACAAAATTGTGATGAGAATTGTGATGACTTTTTTAGTTCACATCAATGTCGAATGACTTTAACTGACTATGAACGTGACCTGTATGATGAATAAAACCTGTTCGCGATTATTTTATTTGTTTTAATTTTTTTTTTGATAAAAATCGACGATAAATTTGCGCGATTTTTCGAACAAAAGAATTTTTGATAATATTTCGCGCCTAAAATAGCGTTTGTGTTGTGTTTGTTTTCGATTTTGATTGAATTTCGCGTGTGATAGCGAAAGTTTATTTAAATGAAATTTACCTTGCACCATAACTTTGTTGCTATTTGCCGCATTTTTGTTTTCTTCTCCCACCACACCGTTCGTGTGTCCATCGTCACATGTAAACATGCTATATGTGCATTGGCAAACAAGGCTAGCCACACGATCCGTGTTTCGCGCACCGTTTCATGTTTCATGAATGAAATTTTTTCAACATTAGAACAAAAACTAACATCGAATGAATATTTTGTTATTGTTTTACCGTCTCGCTTGTTTATTGTTTACAATCGCTTTTGTATTCCTGCACGATTTTCAATAATTGAACGAGTTGGGGAAATGTGCATGTGTTTAAAGTGCATTCCAATTATTTATCCGATATCGATGAATGCAAACCGACCATTATTTATTAAGTTCAATTTGATGCGATACACATATATCATTTTTATTCGCGGCTAATTCAAATACAAATCAATGTAAAGGATAAATCGTGTGCATTGTTTTAACGCCCCCGAAATGTGAAGTGCGAAAAGGTTTTATTTTTAAAAATTGAAACACTATTATAATGAGCGAACGTGATGTATTCGGTGATTATGAATCGATTCATGTCTACGATACGGCGCTTATCTATTTTTATTAACAAATTAATTAATTTTCAACGATTCTACCTTCTCCCGTGCACTATGATTCATTGTCTATGAATCGACTGTTTTTTGTTATTTACTATAATCCGAATAGTGAAAACGGGATTTTTTTTTGTGAATACACTAAGACCGGTTTCAGTTTGTTGTGGCTGCTTTGTTTCCAGTTTCAAGATCAAAAACGCAATCAATTGTCATGAATGTGATAAAGATCAGTGTGTGAATCACATAAAATGGCAAAAAATAGACGTAACGATTAATCATTAATGTCTCAGTGAGTGATAACATAGATTTTTTTATGATACAAGTTAGTTTGTGCTTATAATGTATTAATAGCACCGACACTCTCACGCTTTCAATTGATAATGGAAAAAAATAGCCTCGACATTGACATCGACCGTCAATTTAGAGACGAAATTTTTCAATTTTTTTTCACGCATTCGCAAATTTAGTTTATACTCACCTCTGAAAGGTTAACCCAAAGCCAAATGGGTTGTCAACATCAAATTACAAAAAAAATTAGAGAAATAATGGGCATTCCGATTGCAGTTCTCACTTCTTATCTTTTTCGTGCGATACAAAAACAACGGCAACGGCTGAATAGTCGTCAATTATTCGGCCAACATAGTAATGTTTTAGAAGTCAAAGCGATAAAAAAACGGCAAATGATGACACAATGTGCTCTATTGTGAATGGCTAAGTGATTGTATGCTTTTTGTTATGTTGTGAGAAGAAAAATTGTGCCAGTGTTAATTAATATTTTATTGTTCGTTTTATTGAAAAAGCTAAATTGTTATGTCGCACACACGTCGGTCAGAGAGCCCACGCAAAACAACTATACTATAACATTCACACTTTGAAATCGCGACAAAAACAACAACACAAAATATAAAAGTAAATACTTTGATAAAGCGAGAGCGATATAGAGAGAGGGGGAGAGAGATCGCGATATACTTAAAAAGAAAAGATCCAAGGGGAAGTAGATAAAACGCCTGAATAAATATAAAATGTATGCGCATTATGAAGTAAAAATGTGAAAAAAGTGTGCACATCTGCCGGTAATATAACTATTTCGATTTTTATTGTCACAACATACAACCGCGAAATGGAAATTAGATGAAAAATCCATAAAAATCAATTTTCTCACACCATATTACCGGCGACCGAAAGAAAAACCGATATGTTTTGTTTGCAATGAAAAATCTCAATCGTCCTATTTTTAGGAAGCGGATCAGATGGAAAACATACATTGTTTATATACAACACATCCGAAATCCATCGTCGGCTACATCTATGACAATATTCATAGATGAAAAAACAACAACCAACTTCTTTTTTCTTGTTCGTTCGTTTCGTTTCCACTTTTTCCCATCGTCAAAACGATATACCATGTCATTCAGTCAATCAAATGTTTTAAAATGGGCCGCTTAATTACCCAACAAACATGTCGCACTTTTAACATCAGAAAGAAACAAGAATGCCAGGCACACGCACCGCTCATCGATCATTGAACCACCACCGATTCGGGAGTATTGCACATCAAAATGATCTTTTGATTTTACATTTGTGTGCCATTCAAATTGAATGATTCAATTAAACGTAAAACAAATCACTCACAACTCATCAAACACAACAATATACATTTATGTGAGAGAGTAGACACTTGAGACATGGCCATATTTCACATGCCACATTATTCAAACAAAACGTTCGACGATTTAAAACACAAGTGTTACATACAATAATAATTATATTATATAATATAAGTGTTACATACAATATTTGGTTACATATATAATGCAAAATGTACATTCCGATTGAAGAGACCCTCAAAACGAATACAAGACTAAGAAAAATGTCTTTTTGTTACATCCTTTCACATATGTTATCTGTAGAAATTCAACCTGATTTTCGTCGTTTTCTTACTCGGATTTTTGTTAAATTAACTCAATCGGCCGTCGAAATTTCTCAAGACTCCACCCAATTTTTCTTTCAATTTAATCAATATCCTCGTTCAAACATGTGAGTCATCGAAATTTTAATGGAGCGTCGAATTTGTTACCATTGCCGCCATTGAAAGCGGTCCAAAACTCACATCAACTGCACTCAGCAGCTTATTTTCTCTCTTACTCCCTCCAATGCTTCACAACTATGAATCGAAGCCAATAAAAAGTGGTTCATTTTTGCACTTGAAACTGATTCAAAGTCCAGATAATATCTGTTCTCTTTCTTCCAAACATTTCGGGTAGCACATTTGGTGTATTCATAGTCAGTTTTTTTTTTGTTTATTTACTGGATATTGCCGTTTGGCTACTGTTTGTGCGAATCTATCAACTCATGGATCGCATTTCATCGACCACAATTTCACACACCGAGGCACAGTCAATGGACCTTTTTTTTCGAATTTCGATATATGTTTGTGTGTGTGTGTGTGGTTTTTGTTTTCGTTTGCTGTTTCCAACGTCGATGAGCTTGTATTCACTCTGTTCTGTTCTCATATTCTCTCAAGCAAACAAATTATCTGGTTTGAAAAAATGTAAAGTAGCTAAATATGTCAAGTACACCGCACATGGGTATATATTGTCGGCATCTACACATTCGGTATCACAAAACGACGAAAATGGAGAGAAACAAAATAAGCGAAATTAAACTGCGGTTTCTCTATAGTATTTGCGTTTGGTGTTGATTAAATCAACTTGATTTGCACAGTGCAAACATTTGATGAGCATACATTTATTTGGAATAACACTGTAAGTTCTTTGTAGTACAACGGTGCATGGAACACGGAAAAGGGTGAATTACATATCTATCTCTTTCCTTCTCTCTCTCTCTTTCTCTCTCTTTCAGTTTCGCTCACTATCTCTCTTGCTTTCTTTTTCTAGTTTTCGTTCTCTTTCTCTCTTTCTCTCTCTCCCCCTCGATAAACAAGAAAAAAACTAAGAGCGTAAGGCAGAAAGAATAAGGAAAAAACAGAGTGAAAAAGGGACAGTTGTATAAGGTAGAATGGTAGATGCATTGAAAGAAGAAGAAGAAAAAACAATCAAGTGCGCTCATGCACTTTGCATATTGCCTTTGAAAATGCCGTCAAATAAGATAACAAACATTTACCGAAGATGAAAAAACCATATATGCGTCCCGCGTGCACCAAAAATGCATAAACATTTTCTTCTCTATTGTTTATATTTTCGTAGAATCATATATCTAAGTTTCATTGTTTCCACTTGCATTCAATTACATTTCCATGCAAATATTTAGGTATTTGATAACGACAAAACAAGAAAAACAACAAATTTTTCATAATTCGGTTACTTTGTTTACGTTATTGTCATATGCACGTGTTCGATGTATATTTACGTAATATGTGTGCATTGAACATTCTCCCGGGATAAGACATCGAAATAAATATTATGTGCGTATTTCACACGCGGTGCACTGAAAATCAGTAAGAGAAGAGAAACAAAATAAAACTCATTCTCATTATTGTAATTTTCGGTGTTTGTGGCATTCCGTAATGTTGTGGGTAATTCTTTCTTTATTTTCGTGCGGCAGTTTGATCATTATCACACTCTTAAACAGTTGGCTTAAGCCGAGAGGATCTTCGAGAGTAAACAAACTTACATGTAAAAAAAATACGATTACGAGCAATCAGTGAAAACGATCTGACGTATAGGGAAACGGAGGCTCGGTTCCATTTAGTAATAGAGAGCTAATTATACGATGAGGCTTTTCCAATGAAAACACGATTGTTGTTAATGTTGGTTGTTTTTTCTGCTTAAATGGGACATACAAATCAGGGAAAAAGCAGGAAATTGATTTTTTTCCTTCACTCAGGAGTGTTCAATGTGTATTTAATTCCCGTTTTGTTTTGCTTAAAAAAAACGATCTTTATGCCTAATGCACAGATTTCGATGCAGTTCAGTGCACCCAAAACAAATACCCGCATATCAAAACAAACACAAAATTTAAATAATATCGTTTGGTTG